CTTTTGAGGCAGTGGGGGATAGTGCGGTGGGGCCAGCGATGCGATAGTGTCTTGCTAGTTGCGCCCCAAGTCGTCCCTTAGTTCCTGGGGTTGAGAAGTTTCCCCACGGGAAGGTGCCCGAACTTCTGGGTTTTAGCGAAAAGGAGATTCAAAATCTCCTTCCCGAGAGAGCTTTAGGTCCTATCCTACCGTATGCTGGTGAGGCGTCATGTTCAATTCCCCGTAGTGGGCGCCGCAGAGGGCGCCACGATTTGGTTGGTGATAAGAGCTCCAGATCTGCTGGGCGTTCGCATGCCGCCTCTAGGAGGCAGATGCTCGCTTCACGCCGTCCCGTTTCTCGGCGTTCTGATCTTGGAGTTGGGCGATTAATTCGACCCGTATCGTCAACCGCCTGCGTCAAAACCGTCCCTTAGAGTATTATTTCCACCCTCGCCCTTCTCTTGTCGCCCTTCGTTCCTCTCATGGTAAGTGGCCCCAGCGTTTTTTAGACCGAAAGGCATCATTGTATAACAGTAATTGGCGTTCTGAGTGATGAACGCCGTTTTGTCTTGGTCTTCTAGAAGTGGGATCTGATTATAACCAGAGTATACGTCCATGAATGATAGCATTTTGAATCCGGACGCGTTGTCAACCAACTGATCGATGCTAGGAAAAGGGTAAGCATCCTTTGGACAGACTTTGTTTAGGTCGGTGTAGTCAACGCACATTCGCCATGCGCCGTTTGGCTTTTTAACCAAAACTGGGTTCGATAACCAAGTTGTGTACTTGATTTCCCTGATGAACCTGGCGGTGTGGAGCCTTTTGACTTCTTCAGCAATCACCCTCTGGCGGTCGGGACCGAATTTCCTCTTTTTCTGGGCGACTGGCTTGGCTTTGGGATCCACCGACAAACGGTGGCAGCAAACGTCTGGATTGATACCTGGCATGTCAGAGGGCTTCCATGCAAACAAATCTTTGTTTTCCTTGAGCAACTTGATTAACTTTCATTTCATCTCTAGGTCGATGGTGACCCCGATGGTTGTTGTTTGATGATCTGCATCTCCTAAGACAACATGTTCCAACGCTCCATCAGGCGTGGGTCTGTCATGTTCCACGCGGGGATCGTCTCTAGCATCAAATTCTACCAAAAAACATTGGTCACGCTCCTTTGTCTTCTCGCCTGGATTTCTTTTTGCTGGCGACGTCATCCCCTGCTTGAGCGCCCTTTCATCGTTGAAACTAGCTTTGGCTATTGGCCGTAAGGATATGTTGTAGCAGCTTCGAGCTATCGTCTGGTCTCCTCGCACTGTGGCGACTTTGTTGTCCCGGGCAACGAACTTCATTGCCAAGTGGGGGTGTAAAATGCTTGCCTCGAAGGCAGCAAACATCCTTCTACCAAGAATGGCGTTGTAAGCTGATGGGGTGTCGAGCACCAAAAACTGGATGTCTGCGGATCGTGAGGTGGGTGGTGTTCCAAGGGAAAGCCGCAAGGTAATCACTCCCAGTGGCTTTGTGGTGGTAGCATTGAAACCTGAGAGTTCACCTGTAACAGGAGTTAAACTATCAACAGTGAACCCTAACGCTTTAAAGCATGGTAAAAACAAAATGTCGGCTGAGCTGCCGTGGTCAATAAAAACGCGATTAACGCCGAAGTTGGCGATTATAGCTTGAATGACGAGCGGATCATCATGTCCTGGGAGGACATCGCCTAAATCGCTGGCGTCCCAAACAATTTGAGGCCTTGTTGGACCAGGACTGTGCTTTGCTTTGCTGATCACTTTGCCAGCGACCGCCAGACACTGCTTCAAGTGTTTCTTTCTGGCGTTCGCAGTCTCTCCTCCTCCGCTCAGCCCGCCTGAAATCATGTTTATCACTCTGTGCTTCACCGCGGCTGAATCTTCGTCTACTTCTTCTCGCATTCCTCTGCGGTTTGGACTTGCTTGCGCTCTGTGATTCCTGGGGGAATCTTCTCTCCTGTCACGATTGTAGGTGGTTCTGGATCCAGATTGACGCGTTCTCCTTCTTTCAGGCGATTTGTTGCGCTCCCGATATCGCCTCCCTGCTCCCGAAGGGCGTGAGCCGTCTCCTCCTCGCCTCTGCACTCCGTTTTTGATGAGTTCATCGATTTCATCTTTGAGGTGCCTGCACTGCTCAGTGTTATGACCGTTGCTACGATGGAACTTGCAGTACATGGTGTTTTCTTTAGGCGGGTTCTGAGACTGTTGGGTGTTCTTGGATTCTTCCTTATACTCCGTTTGCAGGACGGCGTGTGTCTGACGTCATGATGTATCACGCCCGGGAGGGCGGTTTGAATATTTGGCTGGTTTGTTTCCTTTCTTACTTTCTTCCATTTGGTTTTTTTGTTTACTGAGTGCCTTTTCTTGACCGTGGGCGTCATCGACTCGACTTCCTTTGTACTCTTCGATTCGCATGTACTCCTGGGCCACCCTCTTGACTTCTTCCAGGTCAGTGATCTCGTGGCGGGCGAGCTCGTACGCGAACGCACCTTGCCGCAAACCCGAAAGAAGTATATATACCTGTACTTTTGGGTCCAGGCCTTGCACTTGTAGGGCCTCCTTATCAAAGCGGTCTAAAAAGGACCTGATGGACTCGCCTTGTTGTTGGCGTACTGTTTCTAGAGAGTGGACGGATTTCGGCACAGGGCGACTGGTTGCAAAGTGAGACTGAAACTTGCTCGCCAACTCATCACATGAAGTGATACTACCAGTCGGTAGAGTGGTGTACCATGTTAAGGCTCGTCCCCCAAGTAGTGTGGGGAAGGTCTTGCACATGAGGAGGTCAGTTTCACCATGGAGAGTCATGGCCGCCTCAAACTTCTGGATCCATTCAAAAGGATCGGCATCTCCGACATATGTGGTGATATTGGAGGGTCCTTTGAAACCAAGGGGTATGGGAGTTAACCGGAGGATATCAGTCAGGGGTTTGTTGCGCCCTGACGTATGGGCTGGCGTGACTCGTAGGTTGTTGTTTCGGCGGGGCCGGTCATTTTGCGGTTGAGGAGCTTCAACGGAGTAGGAGAGGGCTGGGGCGTGATTGAAAGGCTGTTGGGCGGCGTATGGTTGCTGACCCTGGTTTTGATAGGACACTTGGTGTAGTGGAACGGCCGGATTTTGGGGTTGGGCAACGTAACCTTGGAAAGGAAAACCAGTTGGGTAAAGCTGAGGGAAAGGGGCGTATGGTCCCATAGGGAACGGGGTGACCATCGGTGCTCGGTAATCGTTGTGCATGGCTACTGGTAGACTTTGGGCTCGTAGTGGACGATGGGCTCGTGGGACGGGAATGACTGGTGTGGCAAAAGTGTGAAGAGGCATTCCAAAACGAACTCCTGGGGGCGGGGGTTGGTCTTGTATCAAGTTTTCTCCTTGCATTTCACGCATAGGTGCGTGATAGTTCAACTGTGCTATCCTGGGTTCAACTGCTTGCATTTGTGGACCGACGGATTGTAGTACTGGCTGGAGCATCTCGCCGGGGGGTCTCTCGGCTGGGGCTAAATGCATCGATGGCGGGGAGTTTGAATGTATTGTTTGTACATGACCGTCAGGAGTAACAGCCCTGGTTTGTTCTGCTCTTCTGGTTGTGACAACCATGTTTGTTACCAAAACGTAAAACACGTCTTGTGGATCTTTGGTAGGAGAATGAGAATAGAAGTTTATAGTTTTTCCACAGACGGCGCCAATGTACCGTTAGGTTCTGTGAGCCCACTATGTACCCTATAGGGTAACGTTACTATATGGATTATACCACTAGGCGTGGTAATGACCAGACTAGTAGGTATAGTTCCAAGAGGCAAGAAAGCTAATAGCAATGGTAGATTAATAACATGAGTATGACTTGGAAGTAAATGGGCATAACAACAGTACATAAAAGATACCTCTAAGGTGTGCCCAGGAGGGCTATTTATAAGGGAAATGGAGCGGGTTGGTGAGGGAGAGGTCAACTCTCCTTGGGATTTATCCCATGATGCAGTGTTAGGCGTGCTGGCGCTATCATTGTGGCAGTGCTGCGCCCTCTGCACTCTAGGTGTGTCAGCGCCGGGCAAAGGGGGAGTTTCCCTTTGTGGTGTCTGTCGTAGTCGCTTTCAACGGTTAGCGTTCCAAGATGGGACATTTTGGTGTATGCCTTGGGCCTGCTGCTACGTTGGGGGTTGAGGGGATCCATGTCAGCCCTAAGGGCTGACGTAGAGCAAGGCTGAGGCTGGGCTTGAGTGATTGGGTCAGATGAGGGTTGGGCCTATGTAGTTGGGCCACCCCAGTACTTGGGCCATCCAGAACAGATACTTTGTTCTTCTTGTTTTTATGTGTGTAGAAATCTGTCCCTCTGGTGTTTAACTTAAAGACGCATACATAATGCCGCATGATATTTGAATAAACTTTCGAGAGCTTAAATTTTTTGAACTATAATATGTGTGCATAAATGTACCAACTAGGATAATCCAAACTCTAAATTATTTATTTTTAACAAAGTTTACAATATTCACAATATGAATTTCAAAACAAACTGAACAAAAATTGAGCAAATCGAAAAAAAGAAAAAAAGAAAGACACTGAGAATCATCCCAAAACAACACACTTTACACCCCTAATTCCAAAATAACAATAAATTGTAACAATTTCTATTACCAAGGAAGGAGCCACGTTACCGAAAGAAATTATATTTTCAATCATCCAATTTCTTCCTGAGATGATTCCTTATAGCTTCACTGCGAGCTTTTGCGTGAGCCTGTTGAGGAGCTATGTTAACGAAAGACAGATAAGCTCCGAAACCAATCAACGAAGCTCCGAACACAAAGACGCCGGCGGTGACCGCCACTTGCCTCGCCGTCGGCGGGTACGACCAAAACACCATCGCGATTGGCAACTCCAGCTCCTTTTCCCCTTCTCAACAATAGAACATAAATGTGTGATTAATGGGCTTATCAAATCTGGGCCTAGCCCATACCCATTATAAAAAAACAGGCCCAATCTTATTCACTAAAATCTACAAAACCCTAGTTTCCTTCATTCACCTTATATTCCGTAACCCTTATCTCACAATCTCTGTGTCTTCAAGCCGCGGATTCGTAGATTCACTGTTTCCGTTGCAAGAATGGGACGCGTTCGCACGAAGACGGTGAAGAAATCATCAAGGCAAGTGATAGAGAGGTACTATTCTCGAATGACGCTGGATTTCCATACCAACAAGAAGATCCTTGAGGAGGTGGCGTTGATACCATCGAAGAGGCTCCGAAACAAGATTGCGGGTTTTTCGACCCATCTCATGAAACGGATCCAGAAGGGTCCGGTTCGCGGAATTTCGCTGAAGCTGCAGGAGGAGGAGAGGGAGCGGCGCATGGACTTCGTCCCCGACGTCTCCGCCGTAGGAACCGATCACATCGAGGTTGATAAGGAGACACTCGACATGCTCGCCGCCCTTGGAATGGGCGAAATCCCTGGTGTTGTTCAGGTTGACCCTGTCCCCGTTCAGCAGCAGATTCCCTTTGGTCGCGGCGGCGGCGGACCTGGGAGGAGGTTTTAAGCTTCTTCTTTTTTTCCGGTGATGCTTTGTTTTAGAGGAATTGTTATGTTTTGAATTTTGTTTTACTTAATTTCGGTTTCTGTGATAGGGTTTTGGATTATTGAACTCTGTTAAAGTGGTGGTTGTTACCGGAATTTAATTTTGTTTTGTCTTTAGTAATTCCTATGATATGGTATCTAAAGAGTACTTGATGTTGTTTTGTTCCGCTAATATTAGAACTTTGAAGGGTTAAGATATTGTGTAATGAGGAAATAGAATGGTTGAATTTGTGTACTCAAATCCCATCTAGTGGATTTCAGCTATTTCTCTCTACCTTGGTGTTAAGAGCGCCATGTTGCGGTTTATTTTGTTATTTATCACACATTTTATGTTTGGGCTGGATTTCAGATTTTAGATTAAACTTAATTAACTAAATTTTTCGTTTAATTGCGTTTAGTATATGTGGAAAACCAACACAGATTGCCTTATGATATCTGTGGATTGAGATTTACACAAAACACTCATTGTATGGGGTTCAATGGTGTTTGTATAGTTTGCAGCTTAACATCTGCATTGCTTCCGATTTTGTTGATCATTCCCTATTGACTTTCTTTGTTTTTGTGACTACAAATTGGCTATCTTAGCCTATGAAATGGTCTTTTAGTTTGGCTGGACGATGAAGTGATCTTAGTCATATTTGGATTCTCATTGACATTTCAAAGGATTTTGCCTTTTCCATTTTTTCATGTCTGGTTTTGATTATTTTTGGAAAAGGTATAGCTATTATTTTTTCCTCCGAGAACTAGTTTAAAATAATTTTGATTATAAATTATTTTTGTTGTAATATAAGTCAATTCGAATATATGGTTGCTCTTGGAGAGGTTGGGGGATACCCAATGTTGAATGAGAAAATGTGTGCCCTTGATCAAAGTTGGCCGAGAGAAATAGACCAAAGTGAGTAACTCATATTTGAAAACCATTGCCATTTGGTATGTCCTCTCACATAAATGAAATATGAAAACTTTGTGATGGACCAGCGAATGGTTATTAAATCAACTGAACATCTCATGCCAGATGTAGAATGAGATCACTAATTCACTATGCTACCTGTGGAATTGGGATCTTAACTCTTTCAAATCTTCCTTTACAATTCGTAATCATTGAACGGCCATACAATTATCGCATTCATGTTTGTGAAACATAAAGATCAACCTCCTTCTATAACTAGGTTTCAATTTCATTCATGTTTCAAACCCTTGTTAAAACAATAAAGGGAGAAGTTCAAATACCCTATTGGTTTTCCTTTGAATTGTTACCCTCTTATTCTTTCTTTTTTTTTAATCACTTGGCCCCCAAAATAGTTTTTTCCATCCAAATTCATCATTAGCACTATTAGAAACTTCACAAACATGTTTATTTTACCCTTATTACAAAAATACTTCAGTTATCTGGTGTATCATGTTGTTTCCCCAAGAATAAAATTTCTCAAGTTTCATTATTTAATTTTATTTTACGTCCCACGTTATTTAATTTAGTTTATAATTTATAGCTTGAAACTTAGATATAGAAGTATTAGGTCTTTTATTTTAATCTATGAGTGATAAAAAAAAATTATGGAAGGTTAGTATTTATGATTTTTTAATATTTTTATATATATAAATATGAAGTATTATATGCCTGCAAAAGTAATAAAAACAAGTATGACGTTATCGCTTCTGTATAGCTTTTTGTGTAGTTGGGTTATTTGTTGAATGAGTCCTGTGTTTTTTCTATTATAGTTTTGATTGGACTAGAATTTTTCGATGAGCTATGATATTTATTTTAGCTACACCAATAAAAGTTAAAAGCAATCCATTGTAGACAAAAATTTTTAAATAAACCAACAACCATTAATTACATTGGTTCCATTTTCAATTTGTTAGACATGTATTAATTTGTTAGACAGAATTTTTAAATTTTTTCGTTCTTTTTGTAAAAATATAAAGATTTAAAAAAAAGATATTGTAAGTGGCACTTAGATATCCAGTTTTTCGGTGTGGTCTTGAGCTTACTATATGTAATGTTTTATTAATTAGAAATTAATTTAATGAAGTTGTTTAAATTTTAAATTTTCTAGTATAGTTTGGAATAATTTGTAATAGTGTGGGCTGAAAAATGAATTTAAATAAAAGAAATTGGAACAAAAAATTAGATATTGTAGAAAAAAGAAATTTTATTATATCTAATATTCTCAATTTATTAAATACAATAAATGTTGGCTCTGTAGAAGTAGATTAATTATTTATAAAAATCTTGAAAATAATTGTAAAAGGTGTATACCTGTATCAAATTCACAACAAATGGAGGATAACAAGTTCTAAGAAGGATAGAATAGATATATTAATTAAATTTTTATTAAAGATGGATTTGGATGAAAAAAAATAAAATAAGGAAAGAAGTGATAAAAAAAAAAAGGTATAAAGAGATACATGATTAAAGGGAAACCATAGGAGCTTGCTTACCAAAAAAAAAAAAAAAAGAACGGAAACCATAGGGATTTTTTTGAACTTTTCCCAACAATAAACTAGTTTTAATTCAATAAATTGATGCCAAATTCAAACAACTTCTTACATTTCGTATTGAGACAACAGCAAATTATTGCTACAAGTAGGTTAGAAATGAAGCACCGAGAATTTTAGGTGCATCTTACACTTATAGACTTGATTAAAGTATTAGTAATGTCATTTTCAAAAACCAAAAAATAAAAACAAACTCACATATAACAGAACTTTCGTCTTACCTTGTTTTTCTTTTCTATCAATAGCCTGCCCCTCCCTACCTTCAATAAACTTTGTGAGATTATTGTAATTTTCAACAATACCTATATTGATATTGAAAATCTTCAAATGTGTTTTTTCCTTTATAAAAAAATGATATTTCTGAGAAATTTAACTCTTTGTGTCACTTCATTGTAACTTTGAAAAATATTTAACGATATTTTGCTAATTACAGTCAAGTTGTTACAAGAAATAAGTATCAAAAACACTCTATGTGCGAGTAAAGTTTATCCACATATAATTACCAAAAACATATACATATAATAATAACAAAGGATTGAAAATACTATACGGTAATTTTATTATGTTTCAACTTGTATGTAGAGTTATAGAAATTTCACAAATGTAAAACGAAAAAATAAAAGTTGGAAACTGATTTGAGCTTTTTGTTCAACACAAAAAAAAAAAAAAATAATAATAAATAAAAAGTGTGTGTCATTTTAAAGAAGATAAAATTGTATCATTTTAAGAGAGAAAAAAATAGATAAATGAGGAAAGAGTTGACAAAAAAAAAGTGTGAGTCATATCTCTTTGTGAGAGTTAAAGAATATAAGTGAGGCAAAAAAATTTATTTATTGCAATTTAATTAAATAATTACGCAAATATCACAGTTTGGAAAATATTTACGCATCTATTGCACACTGTGACGTTTCTTTTGGGCGTCACATGTGACGCTCCACTGGGGCGTCTCTCATGAAGAGGAAGACGCCCAAATGAGGCGTCTTTCATGAGGTGGTGACACGTGTCACTTGTTTTTCCAAAAAAAATTAATTTAATCATAAAACTTCTAAAGGCCATAACTTTTGACTCGAGTATCCAAATCAGGTAATTTTTTTTTTTGATTCCACATAACTTTTCGAGATATACGCAATGGTATCTCATTTGACATATTTTATTTCTCACAAACATAATTTTAATTTGCAAGAATGGTATTATAAGAGCGGTTAAACCCAGAAGCCTCTGAGTTCTGGATTTGTGATTTAATATAAAAAATTTGATTTGTGATTTAAATTTTTTTATAATAATTTTCTTTATTATAACAAAATTTTGGTTTGTGATTTAAATTCAAAATAAAAAAATTATTATTAATAAGGAAAACAAAATAAAGATTTGATTTGTGATTTAAACTAAAAAATCAATTTGAAAAATCTGCAGAAATGAAGAAAATAATTAAATAAATATTCTAAATTTCTAAGGAAGAAGGATATTATTTTTAAAATTAATGATTAATGCTATAAGCTTCTGGGTTATTATTCGTGGTCTAAAATTAATGATGGCTTATGAATGTTTTTCAAAAATAAAATTACCTAAATTAGGCGTGATTTCCTCTTGATTGAAACTCAATTTAGACGTGATTGGTGATGTGTTAGGTTTTGACAAGTGTTGACACATGTCACATTTTTAAACTCAGAAGCCTCTGAGTTCTGCGTTTGTGATTTAATACAAAAAATTAATCAAGATTTGACGTGTGATTTAAATTTAAAAAAAATAATTTTTATTATTTTTAATATAAAAATTTTAGTTTGTGATTTAAATTAAAAGTAACAATTATTATTAATAAGGAAAACAAAATAAAGATTTGATTTGCGATTTAAACTCAAAAATCAATTTAAAAAATTTGTATTAATAAAGGAAATAATTAAATAAATATTCTAAATATCTAAAGAAGAAGGATTACCTGATTTAAATTTAAATTATGTTGGTGAGAAATAAAATATATCAAATGAGATGTCATTGTGTAGATCTCGAAAAGTTATGTGGAATCAAAAAAAGAATTACCTGATTTGGATATTCGAGTCAAAAGTTATGGCCTTTAGAAGTTTTATGATTAAATTAAATTTTTTTTAAAAAAAAAAAAACAAGTGACACGTGTCACCACCTCATGAGAGACGCCCCATTTGACATCTTCACCTTCATAAGAGACGCCCCACTGGGGCGTCTGACGCCCAAAAAAAGTGTCACAGTATTCAATAAATGCGTAAATATTTTCCAAACGGTCATATTTACGTAATTATTTAATTAAATTACAATAAATAAATTTTTTTTGCCATATAAGTGATGTCAATCGTAAACTTTTTTTCCATAAATAAGTAAACTACGAGGATAGAAAACCATGGAAGAGAGAGTAACCAACCACCGCACACGCGAATTGAAATAAAACGGAAACCTGAAATTGGGAGAAGCCATAGCACATAGCCACAGAGCAGAGAGAAATTGCCTATGAGGTAAAACGGAATGTGTTATTGTTCTCCTCGCAGCACTTCACCTCGTAAGTTATGCTTCACTTCCCAAACCAAATTATGCGTTTTTTTTTTTTTTTCTGATTAAAGTCCAAGTCTTTGTGTTTTCTTCTTCCTCTGTGTTCTGTTCTCGAACTTGCCAATTTACGCTTCTATGTAAAAAAATTTAATAGCTTTAAGGGTTTTTTTCTTCCTTCATATGCCGTTTTGTTTTGGGTGTGTAAGAAACTTGGAAAAAAGAGAGCTTGATCTAGTAGATAAAGCTAATTAACACAAATGCAGTGCATATATTTCTGTTTATTACAAGAGTTTGTAACTTTTTGTGCTTTTCACTTTACCTTTTCGACAGTGCTCATAACCTGCTGAATCAGATGCAAAAAAAAAAAAAAAATGTCATGAAGTTTGGTGTGTATTACTGCTGTTAATTGTGTAGGAGGTTGTTGTTTGAGAGTTGTTTATTGCAATGTCTAGACCTTGGGCCCTGGTTTGTCTTCTGTTGTTGTTTGTGCTCACATCACAGTTTGAGTGGAAGCAGCAATATCATAGTGAACTTGAAGGGATTCGTACCACCTCTCAGAAAATGAAAAACATATCTCAAAGGGAAAAATCTTTGAAAGAAAAGGTGAGTTCTCGTTTTATTTTTCTTTGCTCTTCATTTAAGAGACTTCTTTTGAAAACCAAATAGAGACCAACAAAACTTTAATGTTGGGCATTGCATCAGAAATTCAGAATGAACTAGGCTACATTGACATTACAAGTTTCCTTTTTTCCCCTTTATTGCAGTTCTCATGTATTTTGGTTATTGTATTGATATAGGTAGAATAGACAACCTTAGTGTTCTTAATTTATTAAATGTAATAAAAAGGGAGCCCTTTTACATCTATCTCCTTCAATTTTTGTTATTTGGTGGCCAGTTTCTTTCGCCTCTGCTCAGGGATCACTCTCTTCAGTAGGAAATGTGAAGTCTATTTGTCATCAAACTCATCACTATTATTCATTCTGATGCATTGCTAACGATCACTCTCTTTAGAGTTTACTTAAACTTTTGAAGTCCTTAGTTATTTTTTTAACATACTTTCTTGCCTTAACACACAGCTCAAGACGTCATGAGTTTAAGAATAAGTTGAAATCCTCCTAATATAGAAAGTATTGAATGCTTTTTATGTTCCTTAGATATTAAATTCATCTAGTCTTTCATTTAATACTTTCTTCATTAAGTATTAGGAGGATATAGCAACACTCTGATTTTGATTCTGGCTGTTTGAATTAACTGAAATTTTCAAGTCTTGAATTCCCAACAATGTGTAATGTGTAATGTGAACCTGGTAAACAATATGTCTATAGCTTCTTATTTTCTACTACTAATAAGGAGAACACTCTAGGAGTTTCCATATTCATACTCTATTAAAAGAATTCCAAAATAAACCTTAAACCTTTCATGTTACTATCGTCTAAATAGGTTTGAATTAAACATTGATATGTCATTTCACCATTTATTATTTATAAAGAAACCAAAAAAATAAAATGATTAAATGCATGCTATTGTCTATGTACTTTCATTATTTTCCCCCTTGTTCCCTCCATTATGATATTCTCTCTTCACTATCCTCACCTTTCTCCTTTTTCTCTCCTATCACTTTTCTATTTTTAGAATATAAATTTTTTAATTTTTCTTCAACTTTTTTTATGCATGCATCTGTGTGTTTTCCCTTTTTCTTTTATCTATCATCCAATTCTCAGCCTAATCTGAAACTGGATTGCCTTTTGTTCGGCACTTTTAATTTCTGTTATATTATACTTTTCCAGCATCTTATCTGTTTGTCGTGGCATCTTATATGTCTTTTAGTTCTCAAGCATCATCTGTGTTCTTATCTTTTAAATATAATGTTCATATGAGCATATTGTAATGGTATGCAACAATTGTGGCTTCTTTTAAGGATTTAAAATTCCAAAATACAGTTCTGTGGTATGAATCAAGTTTCTTGGTGTTATCTTACTTCTGTGCAGATTATTCTCTCTCAAGAGAAGAATATTCAAAGACTTAATGAGCTTGTTCGGAGTCTTCGTGAGCAGTTGCTACAATGTAAGGCTGATTCTGAGGTTTCTAATATCACCTCCACCCCTTTTGCAGAATTCATATCTGAGCTTGAGCAACAGCCAGTCTTAGAGGACTAGTTGTGAATCACACATGTTGAATAACCTATATGTAAGTTTAAAGACCTTGTTACGTTTTCTAAGGAGTTTCTTGAAGAGGTTGTGTGTACATAAATAGCATAAATTAGAAACATAATAGTACATTTGATCTATATATTATGATATATTTTTGTTGAGTAAAGTTTTGTTGTTGGGATATTCAAGTGTGATAAGTCTCACATAATGTGTGTTATTGCATTGTCCCCTAATATGTTTCTGTCTTTGTTGTGATAAAATCTTAAAGTACTCGAGCATTTGTAGTATGTTACATGTGAGGATAGCAAGCCTATTAGGAAGAGAAAGGAACCTATATGGACTAAAGACTGTGTCTTGTAGAGTCAGTGAAAGGTCCAATTAATAGTAGAAACGATTGTGTACGGTCAGTAGCATAGTCTGATGTATAGTTGAGTCATTGAGGTGGGTATTAACCACTATATAATACAATGGGTTGTATGTACAATGGGTATGATGAATAAAGAACTCTTTTCTGTTTTTTGTTAAATCTCTCTCTCTAGTCAGATACAAGTCTGCGTCTTGTATCAAATTGTGCTTTCATTTTGACCCATCAACCATGAGGGTTCAAGATTTGGCCGAAGAATTCACCGCTCACCGTGATCAAGTTCATCAGCGGTTGGATCAAGTGAATGAATCGATTGAAGCACGATTTGTAGTGATGGAGGCACAACTTAGTGAATTTATGTCTCGTTTTCCTCAGTCACAAGCAACAATTCAACAATCGCCATTTACCCAGCCACCACCAACAATGGGTTCTGATGATCGAGGGTCTCTGCGTTTTGTGAAAATGGAGATTCTTTCATTTGAGGGTCAAAACCCTAACAATTGGATCTTCAAATCCGAACTGTTCTTTCGTCTACAACAGACTCCAGATCATCTCAAGGTCCAAATCGCAGGGTTGAAGATGGACGGTGCTGCAGGGGACTGGTTTCAATGGATCTTTAATAGTGGTACGGTGCAAACGTGGGAGGAGTTCACTAAGGCAGTGAGACAATGTTTCGGTTCGTAACATTACAGAGATGTCAGAGGAGTTCTTGCAAAATTGACCCAAATTGGTTCCTTGGCGGATTATATGTGAGAATTTCAAAGATTGATGAACCAGGTACATGATCTCAGTGTTAATCTTTTAATGATTCTTTTCATTTCAGGATTGCAACCTGATCTTCAGGGAGAAATTCAGTTGCATTGGCCCACTAGCTTGCATTAAGCTATGCAACTAGCTTTAGATTATGATAGCCATCATTCTGAGCTTCGTTCCTCTTTCACCAAGCATACCAAGAAATCCTTTCATCGTCCCCACTCACCCACCAAAACTGAGAAAGCTACCCCTTTAGCTATTCAATCATCCCAAACACTAGCCTTACCAGCCCCACCTACACCACCTGTTAGAAAATTATCATCCGAAGAAATACAAAAGAAAAGAGAACTGGGTATGTGTTTCACATGTGATGAAAAGTGGACAACTAGACATAGATGCAAGGCCAAGATGATGCTCCTTATAGGAGAAGTAGAAGACTCGGGTGAAGAGCAAGAAGAAGAGATAGTTTGGGGTTTAGAAGAACCCAAGGGAACCAGGATTGATGCAGCTTTGAATTCTCTGTCAGGGAGTAATAATCCGAGATCAATACAATTGCAGGCCAGTATATTGAATCAAGGAGTGAAGGTGTTAGTAGACTCTGGAAGCTCTCACAACTTTATTAGAAGAAGGCTAGCAGAAGAACTTCGGTTGCCTATGACAAAGTCTTCTAAAATGAGAGTCTTTATGGGCAGTGGAGAATTTCTACTTTGTGACAAAAAGTGTCCCAATGTCAAACTCCAAATCCAAGGCCATGGATTCACTACAGATCTGTGGGTTATTGAGTTGAGTGAACTAAATGTCATTCTAGGAATGCATTGGTTAACTCAACTAGGCAAGGTCACCCATGACTACAATAATTTGTCCATGGAATTTGTATGGTAGGGAATACCAATAAAATTGAGTGGTTGTCAGCAACAAGGAGAAGAGTTATCAACAGAGAGTATAGAAGGTGAATGTAATGCTCTCTAATTGCAACCTGTTGAGGAGGCTCAAGCAAAGGTAATTTCAGAATTACATGCCTTAAAAGATAAGGTTAATCTTGCTTTATGGTCAGTTTTAATCAACTGCAGTATAGTATTTTCCATTCCAAACTCGTTGCCACCATTCAGAGACATGACTCATGCCATTCAATTAGTGGAAAATTCGAAACCAATTGCTGTAAAACCATATAGATATCCTCATCACCAAAAAGAGGAGATTGAGAAACAGGTTAATGACCTGTTAGGCTCGGGATTCATCCAGTACAGCCATAGTTCTTTTTCCTCACCAGTCTTGTTGGTGAGAAAACAGGATAATAGTTGGCGCATGTGTATAGATTACCGTGCTCTTAATTCCATAACAGTCAAGGATGTTTTTCCAATTCCAACCATAGATGAGTTGTTGGATGAGCTATTTGGAGCTTCAGTCTTCAGCAAATTGGATTTGAGATTGGGATATCATCAAATTCGCATGAAGTCTGAAGATATTCACAAGACCGCTTTTAGAACACATGAAGGGCACTACGAATTTTGTGTCATGCCATTTGGATTAACAAATGCACTAGCCACTTTTCAAGCGGCAATGAACAAAATTTTCAAACCTTGCACAAGTTTATAGTAGTTTTCTTTGATGATGTGTTGATTTACAGCTCTTCAATGGATGAACATGTCCAACACTTGGAAATCACCCTTGGTGCCTATTACAACATTCTTTTTTTTGTTAAACTCAACAATTGTGAGTTTGGTGTGCAGGAGATAGCTTATTTGGGCCATGTAGTGACTGTTTCTGGTGTTAAAGCTGATCCAAGGAAGCTATCAGCAATAACAGACTGGCCTACCCCTCACTCTATCAAGCAACTAAGGGCTTTTCTTGGTCTAACAGGATATTATAGGAGATTTGTACAACATTATGCTTCAATAGCCCATCCACTAACCGAGCTGTTGAAACAGGATAGGTTCTCGTGGACTCCTGAAGCTGATGTGTCTTTCCAGAAGTTGAAGGTAGCCATGTCCACAACACCTGTGTTGAATCTTCCAGATTTTAGCTCTTCTTTTGTCATTGAATCGGATGCATCAAACTTTGGAATAGGGGCTGTATTATTACAAAATGGTAAACCTATTTCATTTTTTAGTAAGAAGTTGGGGGTTAAAATGGCAGTAGCTTATGCCTATGTCCGTGAGTTATATGCATTAACCGAGGATATTAAGAGGTGGAGACACTACCTACTAGGTTCTCATTTTGTGATAACGACAGATCATCAAAGTTTGAGGCAATTGCTTACTCAAACTATTCAGACTCCTGAACAACAGAAGTACATGTCTAAGCTTCTTGGATATAGTTTCAGCATTGAGTATAAAACAGGACTTTCCAATGTGGTGGCAGATTCACTATCTAGACAACATGATGACATGGTGCACGGTACAACTCTAGCTTTGATGTCTGAACCTAAATTTGACATTATTAATCAGATTAAGTCAGAAAATTCTGCAGACCAGGACTTATTGGCTATACAATAGTCATTGGTAAATGGTACAAACAAGGACCCCTTTATTACGTGTAAGGATGGCCTGTTGTTTTACAAAGACAGATTCATCTTGGGCACACAATCCCAGCTTAAAGCCATTCTGATTACTGAAGCTCATTGCACACCTTTGGGAGGCCATGCAGGTGTATTGAGGACATTCCTTCGACTCTCTGCTTCCTTCTTTTGGAAAAATATGCGCAAGGAGGTCAAAGATTTTATCACTCAATGCACCATTTGTCAACAGGTGAAAACTTCTACTCAAGCTCCAATGGGTTTGTTAAATCCATTGCCTATTCCAGAAGTTGTCTTTGATGATTTAACCTTGGATTTTATTATAGCCTTGCCAAAGTCACAAGGATTTACCACCATTTTAGTAGTGGTTGATAGACTCACGAAATATGGACATTTTGGTCAATTGCCTGCATCTTACACAGCTTCAACAGTGGCTCAATTGTTTTGTAACATTATTGTGAAACTTCATAGGTTTCCAAGGTCCTTGGTTTCAGATCGTGACCCAATATTCTTGAGCAATTTTTGGAGGAAATTATTTCAATTGAGTGGTACAAAACTCCATGCAACATCGGCTTATCACCCTCAATCAGATGGTCAAACTGAGGTGACCAACCGATATATTGAACAGTACCTTAGAGCTTTTTGCTCAGAACAAAATATGCTTGGTCTTCCTATCTTTGTTGGGCAGAATTGCATTATAGTACCTCTTTTCACTCTTCAATTAATACATCACCAATTCAGGCATTGTATGGGAGAGCACCAATGATGTTACCTATGTACCCAAGGGGTTTGATCAAAATAGAAGCCTTAGACACAATACTTCAGAAGCGCAATGAAGTCTTAGCAAGTCTCAAGCTAAACTTGCAACGTGCTCAACATCGAATGAAACTTCAAGCAGATAGGCACCGTCGAGATCATACATTTCAAGTGGGTGATCTAGTCCTAGTTCGTCTTCAACCTTATAGACAACTATCAGTAGCAAGGAGAGCTAATCACAAGCTTGCTAAGAGGTATTTTGGCCTTTTTCCAATTCAGAAGGTTATTAGCTCTGTTGCTTATCAGTTAAAGTTACCTGAAGGCAGCCAAATCCATCCTACTTCCCATATTTCAAGCTTGAAACCTTTTCATGGCTCAGCAAATCTTAGTGCTTCACCTCTGCCTATAGAAAGCGTGGATAACAAACCTGTCCAAGTGCCCATTGCAGTATTGAGTTCCCGCACAGTGCCGATCAGAGGAAGAACTCAGCAGCAAGTTTTGGTCCAATGGTCTCAAACGGTACCTGAAGATGCATCATGGGAATCAGTTGGAGAGCTTAAAAGAGTTTACCCTTCCCTGCACCTTGAGGATAAGGTTGCTTTTGAAGAAGGGGCAGTTGTTACATGTGAGGATAGCAGGCTTATTAGGAAGAGAAAGGAACCTATATGGACTAAAGACTATGTCTTATAGATCAGTGAAAGGTCCAATTAATAGTAGAAAGGATTGTGTACGGTCAGTAGCATAGTCTGATGTATAGTTGATTCATTGAGGTGGGTATTAACCACT